TTACGGCCATATCACACTGAAACACCAGTTCCCGTACGATCACTAAAGTTAAGCAACGTCAGGCTTGGTTAATACCTAGATGGATGATCGCTTGGGAATACCAAGTACTCTAAATGTGGCTGGTGATAACGGCTCGGAATTGTTACTTGTAAAACCAATCTCCCATTCCACTTGGCTTTAATATATTCATTTATGATCAAGTACATTCGGGAAAAGTATGAATCCATTCTTCCCCAGCCACTTATGGCTTAATTTGTAAAACTTTTATCAGTAAATCATTTTTATCTTTTAAAAAAAATTCTTACAATCTACGAATATTTTCTTGCTTTGAACAACTTATAAATGATTGATGAACCGTAAAACCTGAATCAAACCATCAAGCTAGTATGCCGAGACAAATTAGAATCTTTTTTTTTTTATTTGGCATATTTCTTTTTAGGGGGTTGTTCAGTTAAATATATCTATTAATTTTGAAACTTCAAGGCAACATCTGAATTTATCTATATGATCTGTATGTATGTGTATGTATGTATTCATGTGTGTGCGTGTTTTAAGTAAGTGGAGACATTTTATATCGAATTGTTCATACAACTAAAGCCTGTCGATTTACCAATAAATTTAAATAAGAAAAATTTCGATTAAGCCGAAAAAAATATTGATTCGATATTTTTCGTCTCTTTTCAGAAAATATTCTTCAATTCATGCTCGTTTATTTATTCAGACATTTCCATTCTTTGTGTTCTTTGCGAAGTCATTTTGATTTCATTTCAAGAAAAAATATTAATAAAATAATTTAAAAAAAGCAAATAAACTAAACAGCTGTATATCAATAGAAAAATAGATATTTTCTCTATCGAGATTTAAAGTTGATTAGAAAATTTGTTACTATTATCAGATTTTCATTACTTGTTGATTTACTTTTATTTCCTCGTTATTCTACTTGGTGTCACTTTCTGTCTCCGCTAAAATAAATGAATAAAAAATACAGATTCTTCTCAATCAGATTTTTTTTTTTAATTGTAACTTTCATATTCATAGCGTTGTGGGCAGGGAGTTTCATTTCTATTCACACGTTCATCAAATGCTTTATAAGAGCAGGCGCCATCACCAAGAGACACGCAGTTGTTGCAATTCACGCTCGGGCTAAAGAATTGTGCTAGTAAGAATTAATAATATTTTTAACTGCACAATCAATTTCTATTGGGAGTTAGCGAAGAAATTCTTTCCAATGACGATTGCTGTCGATAGTTCTCGACATTATTCTAAATCAATGTCGCTTTTTGTAAGACAGCTAAATCCGTAACCTGTTCTCTGAGGAATAGAACCGAAGGAAGTTACTATTCTTTTGACAGATAGAAAAAAAAATCTCCCATCCTTTATTTTTACAAATGAACAAACTCTTTTGTGTGGTCTTATGAATAGATTTGCTTAACTATTCATACTTGTGGCCACGAGTGAATATTCGTTTTGTTTTCGCTTTGCTTTATATTCATCACGACTCTTTCTTTAGGTAGATATACATGCAGACATGCCTTATTGTTTATATGTATTTTTAGATGAATTTCTTGTGCAAATCAGGCGTTGATATAACGGACAGATTTCGAATTCAGATGAAAGATAGGAATTTGAATGTTAACAACAATAGATTGTTTTTCTTTGGTATTTTATTCTAGGGTCACTGAAAATGTTAAAAAATAACAATAGAATTCGGTTTAGGTCAATGTAGATGTTATATAGATATTTCTAAATTCAAACTCAATACACAAAAAAGAACTGAAAAGTCGACACGATTTTCCCACTCAGATTCCCCAGAGAGGCTAGTCTGCACGTGGCGGAATACTAAAAAAAAGAAGTGGGTATGCATTCCCCTGGAGATTTTCCTCCTCCTACCTACTAGAATCGATGCTACTATGTCTGTCCCTCTCATATAATTAAGCGAATATATAACATTTTATTGAGACCGTCTATGGCGTGGCATTAGCTTATGAAGGAAAAGGCGACACGGAACGTAACTTCTGTCCTTCATCGTTACGTCTAAATTAGGCTAAAATCTACACGTCTAAGGTGTAGAAGTCTAAACAGATAAAATCAAAACATTTACAATTCTGAATATGACTAAACATGTACAAGTCTAAAAAAATCGAAAATGTAAACATATAAACCTATATAAGTCTAAATAATTATATAATGTATACGTCTAAAGAAATGCAAATCTAAACATGTACAAGTCTAAACATGTGCAAACATAAATAAATAAATGTACACGTATAAACATGAACAATTTTAAATATGTACAAGTAAATCACTTATAGTCAGAATAAGAAAGCGACAAGGGAAATTCTTAGACACAAAATGGAGAAGAAGGGCTTGGAAAACTGGACTATCACAAGAGATAAATGGGAAGTCACCTATTTGACGAACTTGTGGGAATGGATGAAAGAACGAGGGTCTGAAGGATTTGCAAAGGGAGAAACTCTGTTAAGAGGCACAAGAGATAGGAAGCTGTCAGAAGCCATGTTCGCCCATGTCCTGAAGAGACACATTGCATAGAAGAGGGAAGAAGTCTAACTTGAATTATGTCAAAATATGTACACGTCTAAACATGTGAAAGTGAAAATTAATTTAAAATGTGCAATTCTAAATATGAATTTATTTTTTGATGAAACATCAATTATTATTTTTTCATTTAATATTCAGGTGTCATCTACTTTTGTTGTTACTCTTTATTGTAAAATCTGCCATCTTCATTTAACTGTCGATTGTAAGATACGAAAATAAATAGATAAAAATATCCGATGCCAACAAGTGATGCCAGGTGAATGACAAATCTGAAAAGTTGCCAAAAGTACGATTAAAGAAATACAAGTCGAAAAATGATTAATACGTGACAGTGTTTTTTTTATATAAATAAATCGAAATGTACGTATGTCCGTTAGCCCATTTTTAGATCTCCGTGAATCATAAACAACCTGGAGTAACAGGTGTGGAGTAATTCACGGTTACCTCCCTTGTCAAGAAATGGTCTTCGTTAACTGTCTTCGTTATAAAAAAAGGAACATGGATAAGGAAATTTTAAATTCTACGCATTAACAAGTTTGAACGTCAAAACATGTAAAGAGTTCATCTTTTCTACTTTTCCTCTATTGTAATTTAATACACTTAAATTATGCTACAGCAGGTAGTAACTACTGTAGTTACACACGATCAAAAATTAAATAAAGTTAAATGTTGAAGTTAAATTTAAATATCGAACAGGATGAAAGGTTTAAAAGCAATTCTTTATTAAATGTTTAAATATAATTTCGCTTTTCGTCGCAATTGCAATTGATACTCTCTAATTAAACCGTAATTAAAACATTAGCGAGGCGGCACGTTACGTTGCTTATAGGCGTTTTTTTTTAGTAGGCAAACTGTGACGTATTAGAAATATTAGATAGTTCGAGTTTCCTAATCTCTTTTTAGAGTAACTTTTTCTGAAGGGATCATAAAGAATGGTGATTTTAAAAGAAAATATAAATTGCGAGCGAAATAAATGTAAAAAAAAATACTGCGTATAATTGCGTATAAGAAGAACGATTATGCCGAATTACCTTTTTCGAAACTAATTCCATCGCACACTTCAGGTATGTACGACATTTTCCACCGCAAGGCTTTCGTCATATATTCAATAATAATCATCATAAAAACGAAATTAAACAATTACTGGATAAAGATTCCTTAAAAGTTTAGCTCTCTTTGTTGAATCCATCTTTCTGGCTAATGGTAATCTTAAGTCTGGTGGATTTTCAATTTTAGCTTATTCTCCGATTTATAAAAATTTTGAAAGCCGCGCACTAATTGGTTAAATACTTTCAACGTCGCAGCTTATTCAGAGCTAATTAAACCAAAGAAATTATGAAATCTACTAATTATTAAATTCAGAGGTTGGCTTCAAAATTTTGGCCTATCGTGTATAAGTCATTACAATAAATAAAAGTACGGGATGATAATATAAAACGAGGAAACCATTGAAGAATTCTCTCAATTAAAGAGGCAGAATATGAACTGAGGATGCAAACAAAACCAAGTACAATATAAAATAGCTTAAATGGTAAAGAGTTTCAGTGGATGTTGTCTAAATAACTAAGTTGATGATGATTTTTAGGCAATTTTTAACATTACAACATAAAATTCTGTAAATTAAGAAGAAAAAAAAAGAAGATTACCGGAAAACTGATGGCATGGTGCTAATGGAGATACATAATTTTTTGCTCTCACTTCAATGAAGAGGTTCACCTGGCAAACTTATGTTGAAAGATGAAACTGTTCTTACTACGACAGTTGTTTATTATGTGTTACCTGCTGTTAGAAATGGAAGGAAATTCGAGAGATCAGTTGATGGAATTTAGGTTGATTTGTTATCACTGGCCAAAATACCAATGCAGTTGTCGACTCTAGCCAAAGGAATGAACCAACTAAAAAATAATTAGATACCCACTTCATATATATTATATATATATATATATATATATATATATATATATATATATATATATTTGTGTGTGTGTGCGCAAAGAAAGAAAGAAAGAAAAAAGAAAGAAAAAGAAAGGGAAAGGAAACAGACGGAGAGAGTGAAAAGATTTTCTCAATTGCATTTCCGGTTGCATGAAAGAATGCAGAAATGTATAAGATGAAATAGAACATATGTTTTACATACGGCCTCAATAAATATTCACTCACATACACATTCATACAGAGAGGCGCATACATACACACACGCAGAAGCTATTAGACATAGTCACTCACTCTTCTCTTTATATATATATATATATATATATATTAAACATAAATATATATATATTTCATAAAGAACTGTCGACTAGGGTATTTCTGGAAGATAACATTTTTAAGACAGGCAGTCTTTGTAATTGTAGTGCTCAGTATCAAGAGATAGGACAAAAACAATACGAAATAACAGACGAGGTATGTAAACATTTAATTCTATCTATCTATCTATCTATCTATCTATCTATCTACACAAACGTCGTAGAAATAAAAGACAAGGTAAGTAAACATTCAATGCTATCTATCTATCTACATAAAATCGTAGTTTGCTCATGCCTATATT